TTCCCATAGCTTTGCCTGAGAGCCCCTTAATTTCAAAATTATAACAACTTGGAGAGAGAGAGAGTTTACATTTTCCATTTCGAGAAGGGCTCCTGCCTGTCTTAACAAACACCTGTCTTTCAAACCAAGACAAATCAGAAATCCTGTCCTTCACCCTCCCGAGGCACAGCAGAGACCTTGCTGCTGTAACTTGTGGGGTGTTGGTGGAATTGCTGCTGTCCTACCTTGGCCAAATGCCACCTGCATGTCCCTAGGGCACACAAAAACCTCCCCTCAGAGCTCTTCCAACTGCCCCAGTGAGAAAATTCCCGTGGAGTGTCCAGGAAAATCGGGCCACAAGCAGAAAAATCCCTGAGAGTCTGGAGATGCCACCAAGCCCTGCTGGCTCTGTGCACTCGGGATGTCTCACTGCAGGGAGTGCCCAACCCTCATCTCCACAAGTGGTGGAGTCCCCTGAGGACCTGAGTGTCCATCCCACAGGATTTCAGAGAATCCCAGCCTGCTTTGGGTTGGGAAGGGACCTCAAAGCTCTTCCCATTCCACCCCATGGGCAGGGACACCTTCCACTCTCCCAGGCTGCTCCAATTCCAATGTCCAGCCTGGTCTTGGACACTTCCAGGATCCAGGGGCAGCCACAGCTGCTCTGGGCACCTGTGCCAGGGCCTCACCACCCTCCCAGGGAACAATTCCTGCCCAAAATCCCATCCAGCCCTGCCCTCTGCTAGTGGGAAGCCATTCCCTGTGTCCTGTCCCTCCATCCCTTGGTCCCAGTCCCTCTCCAGCTCTCCTGGAGCCCCTTTAGGCTCTGGAAGGGGCTCTGAGGCTCCAGCTCTCCCAGCCTCTCTAACCATGGACACTCATCTCCAAAAGCACCAGCAATGCTCCAAATTCTGCTTCCCTGCCACACCCAGGGATCCCATCCCACCCCATCCCATTATCCCACCCCATCCCATCCCATCAGCTCTGCCCAGAGCTTCCCAGTGCTGCTGGAAGGAGCTCTCCAGAGGCTCCAGAAACAGGAATAAAATCCAGCTGCAGGCAGCACAGAGCTGCTGGGAGCTGCCTGCAGTCCCACATGTGTTGGGATCCTGGAATTCTGGAGGAATATCAATGTCCAAATCAGAGCCTTTGGCCTCCCGGTGTCCCGGCCGTGCCTTCCTTCCCTTTGGAGAAATCAACTTTTCCTTGCTGCCAGTGCAGGGATTTCTGTGATTCCCAGAACAGCTGGGTTAGAGGAGGGTCATTAATATGGGAGAGAAAGGCAAAGTGTTATCACTGGGATGAAGGGAAAACATTTAAATGGATGCATGTGCTGGTCTAACTTGCTGGGATTAATAACATTTAATATTGGAGATTAAGGCTCGGAAATGGAAATGCTCATTAATTAATTTGTATTAGTGGGAAGTCACATTTATTCATTAGAGGGCATTAAAATAATGTATTCAACGGCGCCTTTCATCTCAAAAAAAAAAACTTAATAAAGATGTATTTGTTGCTCTCCCAGGGTGTTTTACAGCTGGGAACAGTCACAAAGTGCCTGAATTCCTTGCCAGGAGCTGGCAGGAACAAACCTCGGGAGTTTGGGCTTCCAGATTGACTTCCAAGTGTAATAAATCATATATGAGAATACAGCAAACTCTGCAGCTAAAGGAGATTGGATTTAGGGTTTGTGATTTCTTGTATGGTTTAAGATATTTCCTTCAGCTTATTTTTTCCTTATTTTTCCTTGGTTGCCAACCATAAAATCTCAGATATTTTAGCAGAAGATAAATGCTGGAAGCAACTTCCCCAGGTTTTTTTGTTCTAGCACTGAAAGGAGAAATTTCCTCTGCAGAAATGCAATAAATCACAGCAACCCAAATGGAGTCAGTAAAGCTCAGTGGTCAGAAATCGTGGAGTGGTTGGGGTTGGAAAGTGTGGACACACACATTCACAGAGCTGGGGAATCACAGCTTGGAAATCCTTTCCAGGCCTGGATTTCTCCTGACTCTCAGCTCCATTCCCAGGCTGACAAGCTGACTGCAGCTTCAGTTAGGGAGGAGTCTCCCAGGGTGACAACATGGTGACAAACAGAGTGGAATTCATCACCAACATTAACCCCTGGTGT